GCCTCCGTTGTCTGCCCCAGGGCTGCAGCGCGAACCGGGGCCGCCGTGACCCCGCGGAGGGCAGCGCTGCTGGAGACACGCGCGGCCGTGCCTGCTCTTAATGGTGCAGAGCGGCACGGCGCAGCGCTCTCGCAGCGTCATGCCACCTCCTTTCAAGAGAACCGAGAAGCCTGGTTGGCAGGGCAGCAGCCCCGCAGTTCACGTCAGGGCAGGAGCTTCTCCACCAGTGAGAAAATTGTGGGGCTGGAGCCAAACCTGTGCATCATATCATCCAGCAATACCCACGCAATCGCAATATGGCAACAGGCCCTCTTGGATTCTTGTCACTATCACAGGGCCTAGGCTTCAGCAAAATCTCAGCTCTGTGTGGAGACATATGAATCCAGAAGCTCTTCTGTGCAGTGGTTGTAACGACAGATTCTGCTTGGGATTCAGCAGCACAGGTTCCCCCAACCAAAACCTTCCCCTGTGCTTTGAAAGCAACCATGTGCTGTCAAGGGGATGGAAAGCACAAGGGCAAAGGGCTCAGCCAGCTAGCAGCACCATGCGCAATCAAATCCCATCACGTGCATTGCTGCTGCTTTAGCCATGCTAAATGATTTAGGAGTGGCTGCTCCTAAGCATGTAGGACTTGACTTGATGGAGCTCAGCCAGTTGCGGCAGTTTACACAACCTTGGTAGTGGAAGCAGTGAAATCTGCTATCACCAAGGCAGGCAGGTGAACAGAGCTTGTGTTTTGATTTTGTATTGTTCATGCCAATTTAAAAAGTAAATAGAAATTTTCCTAACAGTCCGCACCTGCTCTTCAGGGCATGTGATTCTAAGTCCGCTAATCTCACAAGCCTCAGAAACTATATGCTTTCCTAAAGCATTGCAGAAAAGTGATAGAAAAGGTTTCCTTCTGGACCAATGGGAGGCTAACCTTAAGCATTGTAAGTGATTTATGCACTGTATCCCTATCTGTGCCTTCTTATTTCAAAGCCATCTTCACAAGCACTGAACAGACTCCGTTTGCAAGCCCCATTTTATTGAGATAACTGCTTTGCCCACTAATCCAAGGCTTATCCAGTCAAGTATGTCTGTTGAACACAAACATCAGTTTCTATGAAAATATAATTTTTACACACAGCATGTATGTTACATAGGCAAGTTACAAGTATAGGAATAGGAAAGTAACTGAAGAATGTTGGACAGAAATAAACAGATTCAAAATAGTGAAAAATGCAAGTCCTAGGTATGATATTGAGTTCATCCCCCAGAATAAATCCACTGAAGTCCTCATTATAGCAGTGCCAAGCTGATTTAAAAGCAACATCTTTTGCTTTTATCAGAGGGAAATATCTGGCCAATGGCTTTTCCATCTAATACCTCTTATCCCCATGCCTAATATTCCTTACCCCCTCCAGACCCCTTTCTGTCAATCACGCTGTCATGGTTTAGCCCAGCCAGCAGCTCAGCCACCACGAGGTCGCTCACTCACTCCTCTCCCTCAGTGAGGTGGAGAGGAGAAAAATGTAACAGAAGGCCTGAGGGTCAAGATAAGAACAGGGAGGGATCACCCACCAACCACGCCCCGGGGCAAAACAGTCAATTTAATTCGTTAAGGGCTCATTCACAGAGAATAAGACAGGAAGCCAGATCTCAAAAACACCTTCCCCCCACCCTTCCCATCTTCCAGGTTCTGCCTCCTCCCCCAGCAGCACAGGGGAACAGGGAATGGGGAGATGCACAGGTTAAAAGTCTGAAGAAGGTTGCAGTGTCAGTAGAGAAATAAAGCTGAACCCAAACTGGGCATGAGATACAGCTTAGCAGAGCAGCAGTCCTTCAGCTTCAGTGACAGCAATTCCACCTTCGCTATCGCAGAGGGGAGCTGCGTACAGGAACACAAGAACAGAGCATTGCTATCGTTCTGTCTCAGGGGATGTCTTCTTTTCTCCTAGCTTACACATGATGTTAGCACGGATGAAAGGTACATGACTGCCAGCCCCAAAAATCAAGTCTTTTGTCCAGTCTTGCTCCTTCTCAAATACAGCCTGTTGTTGCTGTGGACAGTATGTGTTTCCATATAGAGTTCAGTCCTTGGCTCTCTGGTGGCAGTGAGCATATTAAGTGGGAACATGGTTAGTTATCTGAACTGACCTAAGAACAATAACAGGCTGTTTCCTGTATCAGCTAACAACTATTTTCTTCATGGAAAAACTGGATAGCTATGGGCAAGGCTGGATTGAAACCTTATTCTTTAGAAGCTCTGATCATATTAACAGCTTCCTCTGTCTTCAGTTCTCCAAAACCAAACTGCTCATCTGTGAGTAGGCAGAGAGGGATATGCAACTGGCAACTACAGACCTTGGAAATTGTCTTAATTTTCTCTATAAAATTCTAGCCTGGGTGTGTGGTTCTTGCTGAAATAAAATTGATGAGTAAAACCTGAAGAGAGAAACACTTGAGAAAAATTTGCAATTAAAACACAATTGATTTCAGTATCGCAACTCCATGCTCTCTTTACCAACCCACTAGAGATCATGCAACAGATAAATTATTCCCAGAGAGGAAGAAAATATTTGTTTATTTTCCAAAAGAGATGTGTTTCCCCTACCCCTGCAGCCCACTGATGAACTTGTTCATTGATTAATTTTCCTACCGTAGTCTGTAAGGACAAAGTCACCATTACAAATTGTCCAGAACAGGAGGCATGTGTTGTGCCAATGTGGCACAGGGTCACATAAGTGCCTCAAGCTATTTCCTGGACAGTGAAGCAGTGAGAAAATAAATAGCATTGTTATTGCCTATTAAAGCTGGCAAAAATATAAACCCCAGTAGGATCTAGTTGGATTTCCATAGTAAAATAGAGTTATGAGCCTAGTGTTGTGTTAACAGGAGACAATACAAAACATCTCAGCATCCACTAGAAAATGAGTAAAACACAGTATAATGCGTGCATAAATATACAGAAAGCACTTACACTAGTATAAAAATATCCACAGTCCTCAGACAAATGTAAACTGGTACAAAATAATTCCAAGAACAGGAACATGTTTACAAAAGGACATGTTAATATAAAACAGTAAAACCAGGTTCACTCTGTCCCCGCCTCATGCACAGTACAGACACAAAGGTAGTCCATGGAAGGGTCACATGTACCAAGACTGAGCAGAGCCTTGACTTGCCATTTGACCTTCTAAGTCAACAGTGTCTGCTGCATGTTGCAGCCAGCACTCTGGAAGTACAGCTGACTGGCAGCAGAAGGGCAGAGACAGGCAATGCAGAAACAAACAAAACCCCCCACAAAACCAAAAGGAAAAACCCACTCTCACGAATTTTAGGGCTTGTTCTTTTCCAAGCAGTCATTTATTTCCTGATCCTTCAGGCACCCCAGGAACAGGCATACCAGGAAACTGGTGGTGTAACTGTTGAGGTTTATCCTGCTGGTGTGGATAAGTGTTTGGTGGCTCTGGCAGTGAGTGGACAACAGCACACAGTGATGCCTGTGCACAGGAGGTGACAAACAGTCTGCCTTGCTGAAAGAGGAGAGGGCAGGAGTGCAGGGAAAGAGGCTCAACAAGGAAAGGGGTTAAAAGTACCTCCGGGAAGCAGCTGATCCCAGCTCCCCTGCAAATGAAATCCTTCAGCAAATAAGCAAGCACCAAGATCCCCAGTCCCCATGGCAACAAAGCAAATGCAGAGGGCCTCAGAAGTGAGTACAGCTTTGGAGAGCAATTGGAAAAAGCAGGGCTAGAAAATACAAGCCTGAGATTGGGAGAAATGGAAATTTGCCAAGCTGGTGATCTTTGCTTTAGACCATGCGTAAAACCTCCAGAAGACTGTCTTCCCTCTCCAGGTCACATTTCTATACTGTCATTCTGGAATGTCCAGAAAGTTCACTCTGCTCCTGCAGCATGTGCAAGTCCAGGACCAAAGTTGGTCAAACTTTCGGCTTGCATAATCTAGTGGCTTCTTCTGATTGAGGAAGGCAAAGCTTCACATTTTTGCCATCAGTGCAGATTTATCTAATACCATGTACAAGAAATCAGACTTGAAACACCCAGATGACAGCCTGCAGCACATGCTGCAGGAATGAAGAAGCAGAGGAAGGGAGCAATGCATATTAAGGCCTTCAGGGTTTAGTTGACAGGACAAAGCAAGGTGTTTCTTTCCCACAGACCTGTCATTTCGGTCTCAGACCACTGTCTGCATTTGGCCACGGAAAGTCAGATGCCAGGCATCCATGCATACAACATGCATTACCCATTGTCTGCAGAGAAGTCCTCTTTTTTAGCAGCTTGACTTGGACTCCTTCCAGCACACATGCTTTTTGGTCATTCTTTGAGCTCAGTAGCCAGTTACATTTCCATAGTGACAAGACTTAAAAGCTTGATTAATTCTCCCCATGGTCTTCTTCCACCCAGGCCACAATTTTCCCCTCCCAACCAGGAATGATGTCATCATCGTGGAATACCTACACACAAAAAAGAGTCCAGTCATGTCTGGAGTCTGGACACCACTCTTCTACAGTATGAGTAGCATAAGAGGCAGGCATCGAGTCAGAGATCCTAGCTCAGATTTCACTACACAGCCCAGAGAACACGTACCTCATTCATCATCACTTGTCTGAGCAATCTTTTCAGGTTTTAGATAAAACACGGATTAGGCCCCTTCTTTAACCAGTAACTGTCAAGATTATTATTCGAATGTTTTTGACAGAAAAAGTAAAATAAAGACAGGAAACATGCCTTTTCTGATTCAGAGTACAATCTCCAGTTGTTTCTGCAGAACGGCTACCTTAATTTGTGAAACACAAACTATACCAATAATGTTTAATGAATCCAATTCACACCATCACCAGCCTGAGCATAAACAGGCCTGTAATGCAGTACACAAAGGAAGAGATGGCACAAACACAGTTCTCTCTGAAAAAAACTTCAAAAGAAAGTAGGAGAATGGTTTTGGTTTTGTTTTAATAAACCACATGTACCTAAAGTGTCTCTCATTGTAAAAGGTTTTATAAAGCCACTTGAAGGGCTAGAAGTATAGTCTGAGTTTTTGCCCAGTGTCACCTGAGCAATGCTGTGTCACAGACTGTCTTTGCCAATAGCCATCTCTTTGCCTAAGGGACTCTGCAGCCCCCAGGCAATTGCAATCACATTCATGTAATTGCTCTGGATGGGGATTAAAACATCCCATTTTAGCACCTTACAAGAGAAGCTTAATCTACAGTTGTGAAAATAGACAGTCTGTTCAGGGAAAAGTTCAAAGATTTCATTAGTTTAGAAGTGAGGTGACCACAGTGTACAGGGTTCTGTCATAACACTGAACCCAAAGCTGCTGATAGCTAAATTCCACACTTACCTCCTCTTTGACTGTTCCGAACTCTGGATCCAGGGCTTTGAAGTGATACCTGTGGGTTCCTTCACGATCAATAGCTACCTTAAAATCCTTCAGAGTCACTTCCCCTAACCTGCAAGGAAAGAGTTTGGCACTATCCCATGGTACACCGTTACCAGATTTAGCTCAAGTGTTACTACATGGCATGCAGAGCACAGCACAAGTCTAGCTAGGCATGTGGCACCTTGGCCACACCTGCCAACACCAAGGTCCTCTTCAGAGGAGGAACTGTCTTCTGATTTACCAAGAACCACCTCAAAAGAGCCTTTTTCAGTTTCCCTTTTGCATTGACAACCATAGTTGTTTTGACAGGAGCATCCTGCACTACATGCCACAGTAGAACTGCTTGTCTGCTTTCTCTTGCTCTTGGAAGTTAATTAAAAAAAAAAAAAGAATTCAGTCTCTTAGGGCTCTGAAATAAATGCATCAACTAGGGGACTGCTTTAGGCAATTTTCCCCAGACAGTGGTATGAAATCCAATGCCCAAGTTAATGCACAGCAAAACAGCGCTAGTGGTGATCATATCCAGAAGAGATCAGACTAATGCTAGAAGGGAGACAAGCACCCCTCACATCAGTGTCAGCAAGGCAAAGCCAGACCTCACCTCTTTGGTATGTTGACCATGAAAGGTGTGAGGGAACGGTCAGTGAAGTACAACACTTTGGTGCAGGCACTGGTGCTCATCACAGGTGTGCTGTGAGAATGAGGCAGTTCTGCAAAGAAAAGAGCACAATCACTGGGGAACAGCCTGCCTCCTAACACAACGGGAGACAAAAGGCTTGGTCTCAGCAAATTTGCTATCACAGCAGAGAACCTGGTGATGGGAAGAGATTCCTAGGAGGGTGGCTAATCGACCCTGTTGGAAAGGGCCAGGCATTTCCCTGCTTACTGGAAAGCTTTGCATTTTAAGGCAAGGTCACCATCCAGCTGTGTTGTTAGCCTGGAAGATTTGCCTAGCACTCTTGTCCAAGATTACTCTCCATCCACAGAGAGGCTTGCTGCCACCATCTACTCCACAGACACTATTCACTACTTCAGCATTGACAGGAGAACGTTTCTGGAAGAGAAAATGACTGAACAGTATCCCATCCAGTACAGCTACATTATCACTTGCCTTCACTTGCAGATGGGTAGAACAGGATGAAGTGACTGATCATCATCAAGGCAAAAGGTTATCTGTCTCCTCCCCATCTTCCCATTCTAGTTGGCCAGGATGGGTGTTTGTGCATAGATTTTTCTTTGCTCATTTGTGTTTTACTGCCTTGTTGCCTGCTTCCCTGCAATGTGCTGTGCCAAAAGCTGAAGCAGAGGAAGTCACACTGAGTGACTCTACAGTTTTAAGATTCCTAGCAGGCAGAAAACATTATGGACACCCATTCAAAGGTTTTCTAATTTAACAAGTCTTTGGAGACACCTCTTGGAGCTCTTTACACCCAAGGCATTCTAGGTTTGTGGCTGCACAACTCAGTTTTCCTGGTGCAGTGGAGTGGGATGGAGTCTGCAAAAAGGGAGAGGTACAGTTTGCATGTAGAGAACACATGACTGTGGCTGCTCTAAAAAGTGCAGTTTATGGGAGACAAGGGAGAACCCAGGAAATCCTCCCCACAACCCACTTCAGGTTTCCAAGTTCCCCTCCTACCTTCCTCTGCATCTTGTACCTCCGGGCTACTCTGCTGCTGAACACCTGAATGCAGCTGAAAGGTGGGGGTCTCTGTCTTTCCCCAGTACCTGCAGTCCTCTACAACCTCATAGACTTTATAAGTGATGTTTACAACCAACATTGGGAAAAAGAAAAACAGCCTTCATGATGAAAAGTACACATGGAGCTGCTGCAGCTGGAGCCAGGAAACGTGGTGTCAGAAAGAGCTGTGCTGTTATGCATATATGAAAGGAGCTAGACTCTGAGGGGACAATAGGGGAAGAGGCATCTGTACAGTTATCTGTGTCTACTAGCTGGTGCAAGCCAGCAGGAAAGCCGAAATGATTTCACCTATCTCACTCATCTCGGGGATAATTGTTTGTCAGTTATTTATACTGCAGTACTACTGAAGTGGCCCAGACAGATTCCCACTGTGACGGTGCTTTACAAACAAACAGCAGTACCTTGTCTCTGCCTCCTTTCCTTTGCAGTGAAGTCTAATCTGTTCAGCAAATGACTGAAGGTAGGAAAGTGAGCTCTAGTAAAGGGAATAAGAGGCTGGAAGTGACAGATTCCCAAGGGGCTGCTATGCCCTGGCCTCTGGTCAGGAAACTTGAGCAATGAATCTGGCAGTGGGAGGGCAGGAGCTGAAAGGCACTTACTGGATTTGGGAGGCCAGGAGTCTCTACACTCATTTGTTGCTCTGCTTGCCGGTGATTTTCCCCGGATCTAGGGTGCAAAACCAAAACAGTGAAAACAAAGTGTCACTTCTCAGTTGGAGCTTACATTGCTGCTTAGCTCTGGGTTGCGTGTGAGGCAAAAGTTAAGAGCCGAGTGCCCTAGGAAGCCTTTACCCTTCTCTCTTGCCTCTTCTGTGTTTCCATGCGGTACAGCCGTTCCATCAGGCTGGAGATGCCCTGCTCCAGGCTGTCAATGGTGTGGTGCTGTGGATCGTGGCCACTGAAACTGTTCCTGAGGCTGCGAAGGGCATCACGAACCAGCTGCAAGTCATTTGTCTGCCCAAGAGACCACAAATCAGTCAGACTAACTCCAGGCTGCTTTCTTTCCATCTAGAGCCACAGGTCTTAGAAAGGGGAAGTATCTCTTAACAAGATAATAGCTTCCAGGATATCTGGAGCCCTTATCTGTATCTGGCTGGGAAAATATCCCTTAGGTGCACTCACCCCTCGGTGGGCTGTGGGAGCAGCTCCTTTTCCTGCTGTCTGGAGGAAGCCATTGCTCTGAGCACTACGACTGCTGTAAGCCATCACCTGTTCAGGGGAAGATGCATGTGCCAATAGGAATGTAAGTGTCAGGACCTCCCCAAACATCCCCATATATGAACTTCAAGATGATGAGAGCGCATGAAAACTTTCCATGTCAGTGATATAACTCTCATCTTCTACGAGGCAAATTTACACACTAGGGAGTGTGCAGGCAGTTCTACAGGTCAGAGTACAAACATGATTCCTCATGTACAGGTGGAGAAAGTGGCAGAGACAGGAAGCAGGTTGGTGCTACATCACAGAGGGCTCTGCAAGCTCTAGTGAGCATAATCAGTGTTCAAGTGGCACTATGCAGGGACAGACACTAGGGCTGGCACTCCTTCCACCAAGACAGTTAAAGCACTCAATACCAGGGTCAACAGGAAAAGGAGGAGATAAGCTAAGCCCTGGTCTAACTATTAGTCAGTGTCAGAGCTGAAGCTAGAAGCCAAGAGTCTTAAGCTTCCACTCACTCCTGTGCTCCCCTCACTGTTTCATCCCGTAGGATTTCGATATAAGAGGCTAAGCCAGAGTGCACCCTGCTCAGAGCTTTGGTCAGTTGGATGCTTTGTGGAGCCTGGCTGCCTTGGTTAGGGCACTGACAATGAGACTGCAGAGCCAGGCCTCTCTGGGATGAAGTAGATTTGTGAAGATAGGTAGCTAGAGGGTGCTGGATAGAAACATCACTCCAACAATCTGATGTTTAGACCAAGGCTTCCCATACCTCTTCAGCTTCTCTCTTCATGCAGTGAGCTAGCAGGGCCTCTTTGTGCTCCAGCTCACGCTCCAAATCCACCTGTGAGGGGAGCAGAAGAGTCAGAACAAACTGAGCCACCAAGGTAAATGCCAACTCTCAGGGCATCAGTGCAGCCCACCTGCTCCATACCTGTTGGTAGCTGGCCTCAGAAAGCTGCCTAACCATTTCATCCAGTTTGGTCTGATGCTGCTGTAAATGCCGATCCTTCTGGCCCAATTCTTTCTGCAACACAGTAATCAAAAGAATCAACAGGACAGTGAGTAAGGCTCACAATCATCTCTCCATGGCAGGAAAGATTATGTTGTCCGCCGGGATCAGGTTCCTCTACAGGCTGACTTACACAATGTGTGTACTTCTAGCTAGACATTAGAACTGAGTGTCAAAGCTTTTTTTGAAAAGATCAGTCAGGTTGTTGTTGCTTGAGTCCTCTTACCCAGCAAAGATGCACTACTGAGGCCAGGCACCTGCCCCAGAGAAAACAGGTTCCTGAGGGATCAGTGGACAATCAGGTGATCCAACCTAACCTGACAGGCTTCTGCACAAGTGTTAGATACTCAGCAAGCCATCACAGAAAAACCATGACGATAGGAGATTTACTATAAAAGGCTGTGGGCAGAACACAAAGAACATCTGATCCCTCCATCTCATTACAAACATCCATGGCTATTGCAACTTATTCACTATCCATAGTGCCATTCCTAGAGGTGACTGAGCGCCAGGGAGATAGCAGTCACATTCACAAAACTGAAGAACCACCAGATGCTGCCCCCCAGCAAAGCCTCCAGTGAAGAAGGTTCCATTACTTTGTATTCTGCCAGTAGCTGGTTTCGCTCTTCAACCTTCCTCTGAAGATCAACCTGCAGAAGTAACACATAGGTGTGAGGCAGATATTCCTGGAGAGTGAGTGACAACATATTTGCCCCTTGTGCTAAACGGTGACCTGACACTAAATATCCGCAGAGTTCAAGGGAGCTGGTGTCTAAGGATAGCAACCTCTTGGACAGGGCAGTTCCTTCCTTGCCCTTCTCTCTCCAGACACTGTACATGGCAGCTCTACCTGTCAAAGTGCCACTTGCTAACCCAGGGAGCACAATGAACAAGGAAGAGTGCAACTACTGAAAACATCATGGGAAACTGCGGGAAAATAACGGAAGATTGGCAAGGAGCATTGTAAACATGCTCAAGTGACTTGCAGCTGAGGTGTCAAAAAACACATATATCACACTAACTGCTGTTTAGTATTGAGGTCTTGACAAGTAGAACATCTGTGCTTAGATAACATAGACCTGTGAAAGACTTAGGGGCACCCTACTGAATATGCTTGAGATTCCTGCCCTGTTGAGGGAAAGATCAAAGCACAGTGGAAAATTACATGTGCAAAAAATATCCCTGATATACAAGCAAAAGCAGCAGGTTCAAATAACTCTCGCTCTCCAGCAAGAGCTGAGCTCAGTGGTGCTTGCGTCTCCGCTTGCGTGCCTCTGCGCAAGTGCTGCCTCAGAGACCCCCTGGTTCACAACGCAATGAAAATAAATCTATTCTTTGCATTTCATCTGTGCTTTGTAGTTGTTCCTGCGTCTTGCCTGTGTCAGCTAACACATGAGCCCCTCCCAGTTTCAACTGAAGGTCTTGGAGGCCAGAGAGTGAAGAACAGGAAACTCCATCGAGTCTCACAGATGGCTAGTAAGCTCTGCAGTTTTCACTATGCAGAGACCTTTGACTGGTCCTTCACTATGCCACGACCCCAAGAACTCTGCTGCAGCCACCAGCTCCACCCTGTGGCTGCTGGAGCCCTCAGGACCACCAACCTCCTTATCTAACGCTCAGCAGCACAGTGACTCACGTTCTGGTTGTGCAATTCCTCCTTGTCCATGTTTGCTCTCAGCAGTTCCTGCTTTAGCTGAAGAACTGAAGCATCCTGTTGAATCAGCCTTTGCTGTAAAGCATCCTAGGAAAAGATGTTATCTGTAGGAAGGTGCAAGACAGAGGCAGAGATCCTGCCCTGGAAATTGAGTGACCTAGATCAGTGGGCATAACACAGCGGGCCACTCACAGGGCTGAAATGTTGCCAAGGACCCAGGAGAGCAGGAAGTATACAGACATCTGCCCAACGAGCTCTCAGCCCTTCCACCTTTCTCTTACTCAAAAGTGATTCCCCTCCTAATGCTCTAGCCATCTGGGACAGAGGGGTTTCTATGCTTCTATCTGAACCTCCTGCTCCAGAAGTGGCCTGACAATTTCCCCTTATGGAAGAAAACAGCAGTTATTTGGAGGGTCTTTTCAGTGGCCTATAACTAGTGTCTCCAGTCATGCATCTGCAGCATCCAGAGGGCAGAAAGAGGCCAACTTTAGCCAAGGACACAAGGAAACTTAAGCTCTGGGTGTGACTTAGTTGTTCAATGAAATCCTCTCTGAAGAGGCCAAAGTCAGGCCTAATTCTGCATCTCTCACTCAGGTTACCCAGAGGCCAAGAGCTCTATCTTGGACAGCTACTGTTGTTTGCTTCCTTCACAGGAGCCTGACAGGCAGATCTAAAAACACCTCTGCTTGGGAGCAGATTATTAGTGTTCAGAGCTCCAGAGGGAGAAACTGAGCAAAGAGGAGCCCAAGTTGCCAAAAACGTCACAGCTGAAGAGGACAAGGATACCCAAATGCTTTTCTTCCTCTGCTGTCAAGAATGAGTTCGCTGAGCCAATCCTATTATGTGTACCCCAAGACAGGGCGGGGGGGGCAAAGCACCATGAGAACCAAGAAAGCATCCTATGCCTCATATTTTGTTTAGGGGAAACACACAAATGAGGGGACATTTGACCACAATCCTACAGACAGAAACAGAACCCAGGAGAACACCTTACTCCTTGTGCCTGTCTTAACTGCAGTCTCTCCCCAGGGGCAGAAACAGATCATAGGATCTCCCAACTCAAGTCCCCTAATACAACTCCCTCCACAATCTGAGATTCCTCAAAGGTGTATGGTTGCTACTGGCCCTATTCATGTGCTGCAGACAACTCTAAAGCTTTACTATTAATATTTGATGAAGTGCCCCTTTCCTCACCTTTATTCCCTGAAGATTTCGAGCTTCTTGTTTGTATTTCAACAGCTCCTTCTGTAAATGCAATACAATTTGATTAAATGGCATGTTGTCACTCCTTCAGAACCAAGCAAAGTCAGTGTTGTCTGTTACCAGACACTGCTTCAGAAGAAAGCACATCCCACCTTTTCCCACAGATCAAAGAGCATGTCAGGCCCCAAGCCATTTCAATGAGTTACAAACATGACAAAACAGGTTGAACATCTCCCTAAGCCCCTGCTATTAAAGCCATGAGAGAAAAAGATTGCGTAATCCCCCAAATCTGTCCCTCAGGGCAACGTCAAATATTTCTCTCTCAGCATCAAAACCGGTCCAAGAGCCAGCAACAGCAGAAAGCTGAAATAAGGTTTGACAGGGCAGGTTCTTAGCTGCATTTAGTTCCTACTTGAAAGATTGTTTACATTTAGACATGGCTAGAGACTTAACAGCTGTCCTAGATAAAGTTTTAAGAAGCTAGTACAACCTGGATCTCTCCAGCTTCAAGAGCATGCATGAAAAATCTATTTCATGGCTCATTTAAATTCCAGTTACACTTAGGTATCTGTTTTACCAGCAACTGACTTTACCAGCATTGGCTTAAGGCAAAGTGAGGAGACAGCATATGTTTTTCTGGTGCTGTCCCAGAAACTTTTATTAGCTGCTAATATGGATGCAATAAACACTTTCCAGCCAAGTACTGTGAGTTCTCTCCAGGTCAATTAATTAGAGTCTCAGGGAAGTAGATATCTATGCTGCTGGAAGGATGGAGATCCCCACAGTAGAATATGGGAACAGAGTTGGACCCCTGACACAATATATCCCCCATGTCATCTGTTGTGTTGCCCACCCTCCCTGTCCCAGCCCCAGCCCCTCCTTTTTTAAAAAAAAAAAAAAAAAAAAAATCAAGAAGGACAGAATCTGCAAAGATCTCTTGACCCAAAACCTCTCTTTCTCCTTTATCTGTGCCCCCTCTAACCTTTAGGTCTTGATTTTCTTCCACGCTCTGGTCCAGGCGACTTCGGATTATGATCTGAATGTAAAATACCATAGTTATTATTGTGCAAGACACCTGCCTGTGGCAGAGGAGTGCAAAGGGCAGCTTAATCAGAGAAATGTAGGTGTAGCAATGTGCTCACCAGCTGCTCTTCAGGGCAAGCTCCACGTTCACAAAGTTCAAACGACCCTTCCTGCTCATCCTCAGGTAAAGACCCATTGAGCAACAAAGCCTGGGAAGATGAAGGGGGGAAAAAAAAAATCTTCTCTTTAGGGATTTCAAAGGAAAATAGGCTAGCTGTAGCTCTGGCTAACAGTCATTCATATCGACGGTCTCTAAACAGTTTCATTTTCCATTTCTGCTTACTTACTCCCTTCAAAATTAGTAGAATTTTTCAGGAACGAACAAGAATTATGCCCTGAAAAAGCTCTCCCAGAGCCAGTACTCTTCCCCGCAAAAAGACACCAAACAAGGACAACATAAGTTGAATAACAGGGTAGCCTTCACTACAATAACAGATTTGAAGTCTACAGCAGAGACAGAACCACGTTTATGTTGTAAGGCTTCTCTTCTGAAATGAGACAGAAGTGTCCTCTGCTGATAGAAGTTATTCTTCTAAAATACTTCAGAAACTGGATGTTCAGGGAAGCCTAATTCTGTTGTAAACTAGACAAGACTGAGACACATTCAGAACCGTTGTAAAAGTGAGGGAAGAGCCCTCACCCACAGACAGTGAAAATCTTAAGCTATGCCCTGTGCTTAAGGAAGGCTATTAGAAGCACAGTATCAGCTCCTTCATCAGCTCCAAGGTAGCCCATATGTCTGCAGGAAGATGCCAGAATTCCTACAGTAGACTGAATCCAGCCTGACAGAGAGAAAAGCATGCACTGTAGGAAGTGTGACTAGCAGGACCTGGCCAGATCTCCACAAGAGTATACCGTACTGGTTTTCTCTAGCTGATGGTGTTTACATTGACCTTTCTGTCTCTAACTTCCAGGACTCAGGGCACTTGGTGTGTGCCAGGATGGACACATTGGAGGAAGTCATGCCTGTTTCTTTCAATTAGTTTTCTAGTTTATTTGAACTCCATGGCTAAAACCAAAATATGCCATTTGCAGTAATTCTTCAGTTCAGCCACAAGACTTCAAGGCTGACGTGAGGTTCTGCCTGCTCACAGAATCGTTCACCAAAGAGCTGCAATTGCTGCCAAATAGCATATAACAATCTGTACTCAGTTAATGCAAAAGCTCTTTGGAAAACTGTTTTCTGAGTGCATCCCAAAGTCTTCCCAGCAGGACACTCAAGCAGGAATCACACAGGAACATAAAAAGCTGCCATGGTTTTAGCACCTGACGAGGTATACATTCATCAGGTCCCTGATATTTCAGTCAAACTCATGAACTGGCGGCTCTTAAGTATTGAGCAAGAGCAGGAAAATCAATTAATCAAATCCAATTTCTTGGCTAGCAACATCAGCTGCCTCTTCCTACTCCCAGGGGATGAGAAAGCAGCAATGCCAGCTGCTCACCCTCACTCCTGAAACATGGGGCCAGGGTTGGAGGAACAGGACATGCCAGTCCCTCCAGTGCCACCTCTCCCTGCTCCCAGTGGGCACATAATGCAAGCAGATTTTACCAGTGAACCAAGCAATTTTTTTTTTTTTTGACTCTTTTGTTTCCTGCCCATTGTCCACAGGGAAAATGCCTGCCTGCCCGCCCACACCCCACCCTCCACCCTGGCTGCCTACTTCTCACACAATCTTTGCTTTGTTTACTGGCACATAAATATTTACAATTCAAAGCCAGTATGGTTCCCAGCACAAACAGAAAGGAATATTCCTGAGAGAGTTCAGGGTCTTTACCATATGGATCAGGGGCTCTATTCCCCATGCAGAGTCAAACACATTGGACTGAGGGTCATTTGGTCAGGGAGGGACTAGAGCAGAGCGGCAAGGTAAAGGTCCTGAAAATAAATAGTTGCGTAGAGAACATACCAAATATTATAGTTCAGCCTCGCTCACTGAAAGACTGATGCAAGTCTGTGTGACCCCTGATCAGCTCTGTGAATCCTGATTGATTTCCTGACATTCCTTGTCTCTCTGCATTATTTCCAATCACAAATCGCAGAAAGACTGCTCTATTCTCTCACAAAACCCACAGGCTGCTAAGTGCCCTGTTGAAGAAGGCAAGTCCCAGCCCCAGCATGTGGGAAAACACTGCTGCATCTTTACCATTTTGCACAGTAACATACATGCTCTGGACAGAGACAGCACATACAGGAGTTAGCATACCATCACAGGATATGGCACCAAGCCAATAAACTCAGCTAGAATCTGGACTTCAAACAAAAGGCAACACAGACATAATCACCTTCTTAACATAAGCTTTGGTTTAGATTCTCTACAGTGGTTCCTTTCTAACCTGTATTCAGTGTGCCTTTGGCCCTCTCACAGTCCATCAAATTTACTGTTAATAAATATCACTGATCTTCAGTCTTCATAGCAATATAACTTTCCTCTCTTTCACCACTCTTTCCCTCCATGCTGAATAAAAGCCTCAAATCACATCAACACTGAGTTTTGGAGAAGCCTGAGAGAAGAAAAAGAAAAGTTTGTGTCTGAATTGCTCAGACTGATGTTAAAATCCTTTCTCTGAAACCCTGGTAAATATTCTTGGGCCGGAGAAGTTGCAGCCATCTTTCCTCCTTCCCTGGACTCTCTTGGTTAAGCATGCTACACAATGATGGGGGACAGGCATATCCTGCCCCAAGCAAGACTGTGGATGGATCCAGCTGTCTTCTAAATTACATCTGGGACATTGGAAAGGATGGTTTTGGCATTCTCCATTCTGGAAAAGGTGACCAGCACCAAATCACAGTTGCAAGAGCCAAGAGAACCTAAACATTGCAAAAAAGGAAGGTGGCAGAGTGCTTAGTCAGTAGCACACAGTTGCTGGACAAGGTCTCCACTGGCTGCAGTCAATATACCCCAATACACTATCGACATTATCAGAAATACTTCCTCATTCCTGAGGAACTCTTCCCTGAAGTGATTTATTTCACTGGGTGAGACACAGGGAAGAGTCACTGTCCTTATTTAACTCAGGTGACTCAAGAGACCAACTGACTTCTTGCATAATCACCCCAGGCAACCTCACTGGACCAGGACTCTTATTTAACTCTCTCAAGTTCCAGGCCAGTGTCTCAGCTGCGAGATAACCTGTCTTCCAGTTACAGCTGGTGGGAAAAGAAATGCATGTGGAAGGGAATGTTGGCTGAGAAGCAAATCTGTTACCTGCAAACCTGAAATCATCTTCTTTGCCTCCTCCATTTCTTTTTCCAAATGGTCCTGTTGTTCCAAAAGCTGTTCCTCCCATGAATTCTCCAAATACGACCCAGAGTTCCCCGCTTGCCACTCAGGCTGGAAATGAGATTCTGTCTCTTCTGGAAGACAGAACAGCTGAATGTGGTCATGACAGAGGAGTCCAGAAAAAACCTGCACCACACAATAATTGTCTACTGTCCACACTAGCTATCACTAACAAACCTGCATGTCTTCTAGCCAGTATCAAGGAAGTTGCTACAGATGTGACATCTTGTCTAATCTCAAGGATTTATGTCTCATTCTTTATGCAAAGGAAGCTTTCCTGCATATACATACATCAAAAATAAGCATTCTTCCCCTTTGTTAACTTTGCTGCATCCGAGTGCTCAGTACTGGAGATTTCAAAACATATCACAGGTGACGATGCATTGCACCATGTGTGGTAGAAAATACCCAAGGGGAGAAAAGCAACTGTCAATTGCTTAGTGTTAGTGTTAGAGGGCACACCAAGGACCCACTGAAGGCAACATTAAACCGTGTTTCCACTTGTCAAATAACATGGCTTTCTCAAGGTGCACAACACACTTAATTCTGGAAAAGACTTTTCTCTTAATAGAAAGTTTAATAGCCTTGCATGCCATTGGTTAACTATCATCCACTGGCTGGCCCAGGAATGTAGATTTATTTTTTTTTCCTTCCTTAAGAAGGGATGAGGTTTGATGAGGAATAATCATAGTGCTCATTAGCTAGTCAACCAAAAGTGAAATTGGCCAATTCAAGCTGCTGTGCATCTGTAGACATGTATCTGCAATATCCTACTGCATGGGGATCAAGCATAGTACTGCTAAGAATTTAAGGAAGAACCACAGCCTGCTAGCTACTTCCGCTGCTGAGATAGTCTGTCAAATACTTTCGAAGGAGCACTGAAGCAGGACTACACTGGCTGAGGCAGCAAAGCATTTCCTAGAAGAGCTTCTCTGTCATTTGCTCTTGGGATGAATGCTAACCAGAGTTATTATTAGGCTGCATTCCTGAGAAGGAAAAGAAACAAACAAACAAAATCACT